ATGTACCCTTTTTCGATGTACCCTTGGATACTGTGAACCCTAGCTCCAATCACACTGCATCCGCAAATTTTCTCAATTACTAAAAAAATACCCACCCTGAGCTCGACGTCATTCCCAACTCAACGGTCGGAAGTCCTTGGGACATGTCGTGGGATCTTACGACAGCCGTCGAGCCCGAAGAGAATCCAGTGAGGCGGTCGGCGGTTTTTCTGGAATTGATAAATTTGTTGAGAGAGCGTGTGCACAAAACAAACGCGAGATCCGAGTTTCCCATCAAAAACTAGTCTAGAAACCATCAAAAAACGAACGTGGCCTAACTTTCCGAGTGGTGGCCTAGAAAATCCAAAAAATCGGCCACCAGGGAATTTTTGGTTTTTTCAGGGTTCCTAGGGTAGTTCTTGATGGGAAATCCGATTTTCATGGTTAGAAACATTGAAAATGAGTATTTTCATCAAAAACCAATTTTCGAGCTAATCCGACAATTGGGCGGAGCTTGAAATTCAAAAATTGAGTTGTAGGCCTTTTTTGTTATTTTCACACAAAATAAACTAGAAAGCTGGGTTTCTCGTGAAAAAATAGCCTAGAAATCATCAAAAACAGCGCATGGCCTAACTTTCCAAGTGGTGGCCTAGAAAAATCCAAAAACTCGGCCACCATAAAATTTCTCGTTTTTTCTTGGTTTCTTGGGTAGATTTTGATGGCACACTCGATTTTCATAATGAAAAACGCCGAAAAATTCTGATAATCCGCTAAAAATCTCGAAATTTTTTGTTTTTTATTGGTTTTTACGGTAGTTTTTGACGGGGAACTCGATTTTCGTAGTGAGCAATCTTGAACGTTAATGTTTTCCATCGAAAATCCAATTTTCGAGTTCATCTGAAAAGTGGGCGGAGCCCAATCGTGCTTCAGTGTTTTAGTGACTTTCCCATAGTTTAAGATGAAAAAAAAATTTAAAATCCAAACTTCCCGCTAAAAACTAGCCCAGAAAACCTCAAAAAACTGGCGTGGCCTAACTTTCCGCATGGTGGCCTAGAAAAATCCAAAAACTCGGTCAAGCTTCAAAAATGACTGTTTCCACTAAAAACCGACTCTTTACCACCCCAGAACAAGTCATTCTTAAAAGTGGGCGGAGCCTAATCGTAATTTGAGGATTTCCAGATTTTCCAATTGTTACAGACAAATCAACACGACATTTGGATTCCTCGCAAAAAGTTACGCTACAAATCGTCAAAAAATCATCGAAAAACCACTATGACCTAACTTTCCAAATGGTGGCCTAGAAAATCCAAAAACTCTGCCACCATGAAATTTCTCGTTTTTTCTTGGTTTCTGTGGTAGTTTTTGATGAGGAACTCGATTTTCACATTTTCAAGCTTCAAAAATGACTGTTTCCACTAAAAACCGATTCTTTACCACCCCAGAACAAGTCATTCCTAAAAGTGGGCGGAGCATTATCATCATTTAAAGATTTCCAGATTTTCCTATTGTTATAGACAGAAAAAAACACAAAATTTGGATTTCTCGCAAAAAGTTACTCTATAAATCATCAAAAACGACTCTTGGCCTAACTTTCTGCATGGTGGCCTAGAAAATGCAAAAACTCGGCCACCATAAAATTTTTGGTTTTTTAATGGTTTCCGGGGTAGTTTTTCTTGGAAAATTTGAATTTTTAAGTTTCAAAAACCACAAATGACTAGAAAAGACTGATTTTCAACGTTTTTGGAATTTTTGTAATCTTCAAAATCAGCTCACCTTTTTTAAACAAAAAATTGGAATAGGTAATATTCAGAAAAATCAATAATACACTTCAAAAGGTCCAGATTCAATTACGGGACCATTTTGAAGTGGGGGGAATAAAGGGAATTTTGATAAAAATCAATGATGTTTAGGGCCGGTGGAAAATCAGGTACCAGCCATAGGGGGGAGTATAATAGAGGAATGAAGGAGGGGGATGTCTGGTAATTGGAGAAGCGAGAGAGTGAGAGAGTGCCAGACAGTAAGAGTGAGAGAGTATTGGAAAAAGAGAGAGTGCTAGAGAAATGTTTTGATTGTTTAGACAGTCTGGAGAGGCACAGGGACTCTGCAAAAACATACCACATGACTCTTTTAGACCTTCATAACTTTCTTATTTTTCATCTTTCTTGAATTGTTTCAGTAGATTTGAGGTTAGCTTGTCAAGTGCTTCAAAATGAGCCCAAACACGACTAGGCTCCGCCCCCTTTGTATTTACCGGCGCGTCGCGGTCGTGCGTCGCGGCGTGTCAATGGGAAATTTGAAAGTGGGCGTGTTAAGACGCATTTTGAAGCATTTCATATGCTAAATTTCGATTTTGCAAAGAACTTCTGTAAATTTAAATTTCAGCGAATCAAATTGATGCCGAAGCTCCGCCCACTTTCAGTGTTTTTTGGTGTTTGATAGGTTGGAAAGCTTTTTAAAAAGGGAATGAACAAGAAATTCGAGTTTCCCATGAAAAACTACCCTAAAAACCATCAAAAGGGGTTCATGGCCTAGTTTTCCAAATGGTGGCCGAGAAAATCCAAAAACTCGGCCACCATGGAAATTACCTCTTTTTTCTTGGTTTCTGGGGTAGATTTTGATAGGGAATTCGGATTTTTACATTCCCAATCTTCAAAAATGACTAGTTTCACCCAAAATCCACAATTTACCACCCCAGAACAAGTCATTCTCAAAAGTGGGCGGAGCCTAATCGTAATTTGAGAATTTCCAGTATTTCCAATTGTTATAGACACATATAAACTCGAAATTCGGATTTCTCGCAAAAGGTTACTCTAAAAATCGTCAAAAAAACAGCAAAAAAGGGGCGTGGCCGAACTTTCCGCATGGTGGCCTAGAAAATCCAAAAACTCGGCCACCATGAAATTTGCCGTTTTTTCTTGGTTTCTAGGGTAGATTTTGTTGGCAAATTCGATTTTCATAGTGAAAAACGCCGAAAATTCTGATAATCCGCTAAAAATCTCGATTTTCACATTCTAACTTAAAGTGGGCGGAGCCTAAAATTTCGATGATTTTCCGCCGTTTTTTCTGGAATTTTTTCGAAAAAAAGAAGCAAATTTCACAACTATTTTGCGAGTTTATTTACACATCATTCACATGAACACACAACCAAAAAGAGTGAGGCAAACAAAAAAATAAAACTATGGTAATTTGAAACAAAAAAAAATGATATAAGCGACAGGAAGGGGACAAAAAGGAGGGGGGGGGGACGCGTCACCGATTTGGCAGGTAACTGGAATGTTGTTGCTAAAAATTAAGAAAAAAGAGAAAAATTTTGGGAAAAAATAGGCGGGAAGTTTGAAAAGTTGAGAAAATTCAAAATTTCAAAAATTTGAAATTTTTGGGCGGGAAAAAGAGGAAAAAAAGTGAAATCAACTAGAGAGATAAAATACACTTAAAAAAGATGGAACATTTGAGGGACATGACGAAAAATTAAAGGAAAATAGCGAAAATTGAGCTAAAAAAGGCTGAAAATCGGGTTTTTAAGCCAAAAATCGATATTCTAGGCCAAAAATGGTTGAAAATCGAATTTTTAGGGGAATGTTTAGCTTAAATTTCAGGAAAAATTAGGGAAAAAAAACATCAAAATTTATTCTCGAACATTGATCACAATTTGCTTCTGTTTCGGATCGTCGAATCGATCCATCGTCTGGACTGATTGAAGCATCACGTAGCCGAAGATCAGTCCTCCGATCAGCACCAGTGCAGAGATGATGCCCATCCACGAGCCGGCCGAGAAGGTTCCAGTGCAATCCTGCGAAAATTTCGAATTTTTTGAAATTTTTGGGATTTTCAAATTTTTTGAAAATTTTCTTGTATATCGCGCTCCTTTTCTATTTTCACACAGAATCCTTATCAAATTCGAATTCTACACTAAAAACTACCCTAGAAACGGTAAAAAAACGGGCGTGGCCGAACTTTCCACATGGTGGCCTAGAAAATCCAAAAACTCGGCCACCATAAAATTTCTCGTTTTTTCTTGGTTTCTTGGGTAGATTTTGATGGCAAATTCGATTTTCATAATGAAAAACGCCGAAAAATTCTGATAATCCGCTAAAAATCTCGATTTTCACATTCTAACTTAAAGTGGGCGGAGCCTAAAATTTTGATTATTTTCCGCCGTTTTTTTCTGGAATTTTTTCGAAAAAAAAAGAAGCAAATTTCACAACTATTTTGCCAAGAAAAAGTTGTATTTTGATAGGTTATGAGGTATTTTCGCTGTAAATAAACACAATATTCAAGTTTCCCATGAAAAATCAGCCTAAAAACCATCAAAAAACAAACGTGGCCGAACTTTTCAAATGGTGGCCTAGAAAATTTGAAAACTCGGCCACCTGGAAAATTTCAGCTTTTTCTTGGTTTGTGGGGTATATTTTGATGGGAAAATCGATTTTCAGAGTTGAAAAACCGAAAAATGGCCTAAAATAGCAAAAAAATCAACGTGGCCGAGTTTTCGGTTTCTAGGCCACCATCTCAAAAATGTGTTTTTCGGCTGGAAATTTGAAGTTTTCCTCATTATTTTGCTCTACAACAACTCTATTCTACGAAAAATTGCTCTAGAAAAGACCAAAAGTGCGAAAATCAAGGTTTTTTGGATTTCTAGGCCACCAAAACTCGGCCACCACCAAAAAGTAGCTCGGAATGGTCGAAAATTGGCTTGAATGGATCATTTTCACACAAAATCTTTATCAAATTCGAGCTCTACGCTAAAAATTAGGCTAGAAACCGTCAAAAAACGATCGTGGCCTAACTTTCCGCATGGTGGCCTAAAAAATCCAAAAACTCGGCCGCTGTGGAAACTTCTGTTTTTTCTTGGTTTCTGTGGTAGTTTTTGATGGGGAACTTAATTTTTGCATTTTCAAACCATAAAAACGACTAATTTCACCCAAAACCCCCTATTTACCAACCAAAAACAAGCCACTCTCAAAAGTGGGCGGAGCCTAATCGTAATTTGAGAATTTCCACAATTCCCGATTGCTAAAGACACAAATAAACAAAAAATTCGGAGTTCCGCAAAAAGTGACTCTAGAAATCGTCAAAAAATCATCAAAAACCGCTCACGGCCTAACTTCCCAAATGGTGGCCTAGAAAATCCAAAAACTCGGCCACCGTGAAAATTTCTGTTTTTTCTTGGTTTCTAGGATAGATTTTGATGGGAAATTTGAATTTTTAGGTTTCAGACGTCACAAGTGACTGGAAAAGTCGGATTTTCAGAATTCCAAAGCAATTACCTCAGCTTGAAGTGTGAACTGCTGCGCAGCCAACCACTTCTCGGGCTTCGAATTCACATTGAACAACTGAATCTGGGTGTTGACCAGGGAGATTCCAATTTTGACCGTATCCGTGTCCGAGGGGAAGAAAACGGCCTGAGTCTGTCCGCAGACCAACGACCAGCCGGCCACCGAATTGATCTTCGAGTATTGCGTCTCGGGTTCGCCGATCGTCTGTTCCATCACCTTGGCGCTCTGAAAAATTGGAAAATTAGCAAAAAAAACGGGTTTGGAAAAGCTGAAATTCGTCTAAAACAGTCAAAATTGGCCTAGAATGGCCTAGATTGGTCTAAAATGGCCTAAAAAGCTCAAAAATAGCCTAAAAAATCGTCTAGAATAGACAAGAATGGTGATGATTTTGGCCTAAAATGATCCGAAATCGATCGAAATGAGTCTAAAAATAGTCTGACATGGTCTAAAACGCGACAAAACAGTCGAAAATTGGGCTCAAATGGCTTTCAAAATGGTCCAAAATGGTCTAAAATAGCCCAAAAACGATCAGAACGGGTCAAAAATAAGCCTAACATGGTTCAAAATGGCCTAAAATAGCCGAAAATGAGCCAAAAAATGGTCTGAAAACAGCCTAAAAATCGTCTAGATGGTCTAAAATTGGCCAGAAAAGTTTTCAGCCCAATTTTAGACTACTTCAGATCAATTTTATGACCGTTTAAAACCGGATTTGGACCATTTTAGACCAAATTTTGGGCTCCAAAATTAGCCCTAAAATGGTCTAAAAAGGCCAAAAATGGTCAAAATCGGCCTAAAATGGTCGAAAAAAGTCAAATATTGGACTAAAAACATCCAAAATCGGCCTGAAATGGGCTAAAAATGGTCTGGATGGTCTAATATTGACCTGAAAAGCAAATTCTAGATCATTTCAGATCGATTTTCGGTCATTTTAAACCAGATTTGAATCGTTTCACATCAAATTCGGCCCGATCATGGACTAAAAATGGCCCGAAGGTGGCTAAAATGGTATAAAAACGTTCAAAATTGGTCTAAAATGGTCTAAAAATCGTCTGAAATTGGTATAAATCGTATCAGATCGGTCTGAAATGCCTATTTTAAGCCAAGAATTGGTTGTTTTGATCGATATTAAACTGCTGAAATTCGAATTTCAGCCATTTTTGGCACCAAAAATGCCAAAAAATCGCTGAAAAACGAGCAAAAATCGATTTTTAGCTCATTTTTCGCATTACAAACCTTATAGTTGCCCTGCCCAGTGACCGCCACATTATGCATCACGGCTCCCGTCAAACTCCAGTATCCGAAGACGTCTCCAGTGATTTTCAGCGTAAAATCTACGCTATCCCCACTCTTCATGGTGAAAGCGGGCGTGTTGAACTGCTTTCCAGTGACATCCTGATGCAATTGCGCTCGAACTCTAAAACTGAAGTTTCCCACGGGTCCTTTGAGGCACGAAGCGTCTCCATCGGCATACGAATACGTCAGGTTGGCTCCCGGCAGATAGGCGGCCGCGTAGCTAAAAGCTTTATCAGTCTTCTGTTGAACGACAACTGACAATCCCTCCAAATAGAATAGACAAGTCAAATTAGCCTCAGGCGTCGTCTTGATGGCCGAATTGTTGTATGGAGGGAGGACCAGCGGGAATGGATAGCTTCCTGTGGCTTCTGGACCCTCAGAAGACTCCGAAGCACCGTCCATCTCGTCTGTGGCCACTCTCTTCACTCGATTCGTTCTCTCGTGGAGGACGGCGTCGGTGGAGGTGACGACGCCAACGGAATTATCGATTCGCGAGATGAGTTGCTCGGCGAGCTGCTCCATCGACGTCCATTCCTCTCCGGCGATGATGTAGACGGCGGATCCGGCCTTGTATTCCTCAGATGACGTCACGACTTGAGCGGTGGACGCCTGCAAATCGGGCTTTTAGAAATATATAAGGAGCCTGAAAAGGCCTAAAATCGAGCCTAGTTGGCCTGAAAAGCCTCGGGACCGTTTAAAGCCTAAAACGCCTAAAATTGAACCTGAAAAGGTCGCCTAACAGGCTTGAAAAGCCTCTTGCCCATTTAAGGCCTAAAAGGCCTAAAAATGAGCCTTAAAAGGCCTAGAATCAAGCCTAGTTGGCCTGAAAAGCCTCTGGACCGTTTGATACCTATTTTTGGTCGGTTTGAGGTGATTAAAAGGCCTGAAAATGAGCTTAAGTGTCTAGAATCGGCCTGAAAAGCCTAACAGAATCGTCTATAACTGAAATAGTCCAAAAATGGTCCAAAATAGCTCAAAAATGACATGAGAAAGCCCAAAAATTGGATTTTTAGACTTACAATGAGCCTGAAACGCCTAGAATCGCACCTAAGTGGCCTCAAAAGCTTCTGAAAGATTCCTGAGCTCTAAATCGGCTGAAATGCCTCAAAAAAGGTCAAAATTGGTCCAAAATCATCTGAAATTCCTCGACTTCGACTGAAAATGGTCGAAAATGACCGGAATTAGCACTAAAATGCTCCAAAATAGTCTGAATTCGGCCTAAAATAGGTTAAAATGAACCAAAATAGCTCAAAATTGGTCTTAATCGGTCCGGAGCGGTCTAAAATTGCTCTAAACCAGGTCCAACTGAAATCGGTCTAAATAGGTCTGAAATTGCCCAAAAATGGGTCAAAAATGACCCAAAATAGCTCAAAATAGGCCTAAAATCGTCTGGAATCGTCTGGAATCGTCTGGAAGCACGCTAAACTAGTTCAAAACTGATATTCGTAGAGTTTGGGGTAAAATGGCCTAAAACGGTCGGAATTTGGCCTGAAATAGCTTAAAATAGGCTCAAAACGGTTGGAATGGTCTGAAATCACTCGAAATCACGGTCTCACTGAAATTGGTCCAAATAGGGTCTAAATGACCTGGAAATGGTCCAAAATGGGTCAAAAATCGTCTAAAACGCTCAAAATTGGTCTTAATCGATCCAGAATGGTCTGAAAGTCTTCTGGAGCGACTGGGACTGAAATTGACTGAAAAATACCCTAAAAATGGCTTAAAATGACCATAAATAGACTAAAACTTGATCTGAAAGGCCAAAAATAAGTCCATAACTCGTCTAGAAAGCCCAAATTGGTCTAAATTGGCCCGAAATGCTTCAAAGCCCAGAATGCCCATTTTCAGACTCAAAATGGCTCAAAAGCTTGATTTTCAGCCGAATTTCAGCCAAATTGCTCACCTCAATCGGATGCGGGAAGTATTGTGAGCCGTGGAAATTGCTGTTCTTCACAGATTTCGCCAAAAAGTCTGTCGTTGGTTCGGAGGAGTAGGCGTTGGCTTTCACCGAGAATTGACCTGGAAAATTTCAGATTTTCAGAGATTTTTAGGGGCTGAAAATCGCTGAAAATCAATTTTTTGAGCCTAAAACCGATTTTCAGACCATTTTTCATCGAAAAAATCGATTTTCAAGCCCAGAAATCGCTCTAATTGACCAATTAACGTCCTAATTAGAATTACCAAGAGTGAAATCTGGGTTAACAATGAAGACGACGGGCTCTTCTGGCGTCGCTGCTTTTGCCAATTTTTCGATGGATTCTCCTCTGGAATTAATTAGTTAATTAGCCCTAATTAGTCAACTAAATTACCTAATTTCTCTTTGATTCGAGAAAAGAACGGCGTCGTAGGCGAGCGCGGTGCTGGCGATCAGTGAAATGGTAATCGCGGAAAAAAGTACCCTCATTCTGCAAAATTTTAGACTATCGGGGTGTAATTACGGGTAATTAGGGGGTAATTAAGAAGAAAATGCATGCAAAATTGAAAATTTGAAGTTTCTAGGCTGAAAAACACGTTTTTGAAGCAAATTTTCAGTCAAAAAAGAGGTATTTCAGGTCTGAAAAGTGAGAAAATTGAATTTTTAGCGAAAAATTGGATTTTTCAGATTATGACGAATTTTCAGATTTTAGGCTGAAAATTTGGACTTTCTAAGCTGAAAAACACGATTTTACGGCTATTTTCAGCCTGAAAATCAGCTATTTGAACTCTAAAAGTAGGTTTTTTGAATTTTTTGAAGCAACATCTGCTTTTTCGAATTTTTTCAGATTTTCTGATTTTTGGCTGAAAATCGTCATTCTTAGAGCTGAAATTCACGATTTCGAAGCGATTTTACAGCTAAAAACGAGCTATTTTCAGCGGGAAATCGAGAAAAAAGGATTGTTAACAACAAAAAAATATTTTTTTGAAAATTTGATAATTTCAACAACTTTCACACCTTTCGGCTGGAAAATCGGCACTTTTTGAGCTGAAAAACACGATTTCTCAGCAATTTTTCACCTAAAAACCATCGATTTCCAGCCAGAAATCGAGAAATTTCACAATAAAAACGAAAACCGAAAAACCAACTTTTCGGGTCGAAATTTATCGAATTTTCGGGTTTTTCCGATAGAATTGGCTGAAAAATTCGATGAAATCTGAAAATTTGAGCGAAAATTGGTATAGAAAATAGTGTATTTAGAGGCGAGAGACCGAGAAATACCGGCCGGAGACGAGTGGCCAAAAATCGAAGTTCGGTCGCCGGCGACCAGTGCATTGGAGCGCGTTTGCTGAGTGGAGGGAATACGAGAGAGCGTTGGAAACGAGGAGGGTGCGAGAGAAGTGTGAGTCATTTGATCGGGGGGGAAAATCGCCAAAAATCACTGATTTTTGCTGATTTTTTCGGGAAAAATCGATAAAAAATCAGTTTCAGACAGTTTCAGATACAGAAAATCGATAAAAACCATAGAAAACCCGAAAAAAATGATAGAGAATGCGAAAAATCAATGATTTCTCTTATCAGTACTGATTGCTGATTGGTAATTACCGATATCACATAGGGGTATAGGCGGTGTTATTGATACGGTTTAAAAAAAAAATTTTCAAAATTTTTAAATTTTTGTCTGAAAATTTCAAATTTTGTAAAATTCCAATTTTCAGTCTATTTTAAGCAAAAATCGATAAGTCAAAAAACATTTTTAAAGCAAAAATTCCGAAAAAAAAATTCTAAATTTCAAAAATTCTAAATTTCAAAAATTTAAAATTCTAAAATTCAAAAATTCTAAAATTCTAAAATCCTAAAAATTCCGAAATTCTAAAAATTCTAAAATTAAAAAATTCCAAAATTTCAAAAATTCAAAAATTCAAAAATTCTAAAATTCTAAAATTCTAAAAATTCCAAAATTCTAAATTTCAAAAATTCTAAAATTCTAAAATTCTAAAATGTCTAAAATTCTAAAATTCTAAAATTCTAAAATTCTAAAATCATAAAAATTCCGAAATTCTAAAAATTCTAAAATTAAAAAATTCCAAAATTTCAAAAATTCAAAAATTCTAAAATTCTAAAATTCTAAAATTCTAAAAATTCCAAAATTCTAAATTTCAAAAATTCTAAAATTCTAAAATTCAAAAATTCTAAAATTCTAAAATTCTAAAATTCTAAAATTCAAAATTTCAAAAATTCAAAAATTCTGAAATTCAAAAATTCTGAAATTCTAAAATTCTAAAATTCTAAAATTCTAAAATTCTAAACTTCTAAAATTCTAAAATTCTGAAATTCTAAAATTCCAAAATTCTAAAATCATAAAAATTCTAAAATTCTAAAATTCTAAAATTCTAAAATTCTAAAATTCTAAAATTCTAAAATTCTAAAATTCTAAAATTCTAAAATTCTAAAATTCTAAAATTCTAAAATCATAAAAATTATAAAAATTCTGAAATTCTAAAATTCCAAATTCTAGTTCTAAAGTTCCAGAAAATTCCAAAATTCTAAAAAAACATTTTTAGCTGAAAAAATCTGAAAAATCCGAAAAAAAAATCAATTTTTAGGTCAAAAATCTTTATTTCGGGGGGTCAAAAATCGATAAGAACTCTAGCGAGAAGAATGACGAAAAAAATCATTATTTAGCAAAAAATTCAAATTTTAGCGAGAAAAAAATTAAAGAAAAAAGGCACGAATCGAGAGAAGAACGGGGGGCGAAATTTCAAAAAAAATTGGGAATTTTTACAGAGAAAATAGCGAAAAAATGTACAAAATATTGATTTTTTTAAATTGAATCTACAGTATGACATTATAGAACTGCGACACTTTAGAACCTGGATTTTCAAATGTTTTCGAAAAAAAAACTACAGGAAAAATGGCATTTCTTGGGGGATTTTCGGAGATTTCACAACTGCGACACTTCAGAACCGTGACATAATAGAACTATGACGTTTTAGAACTCTTATTTCGATCCAGATGGTCCCGGTTGCTGGGAGTTTTTCGCTAGAAAATCCTGTTGACTGACGAGAAGCGCTTCGGCGATCGGCACGTCATCAGAGTAGGCGTACGTGTCCCATTCTGCAAAACAATTCGGTTTTTAGGGTTAAATTTGGCCGAAAATTGGAATTTTCAGCTTTTTGGAACCCAAATTAGACTGAAAATGGCCTAAAAATACCGTATTTTTGGCTGAAAATTCCAAAAATTGACTGAAATTTGACTGAAAATCGCTGAAAAATATAAAAATCGGCGACTGAAAATCGAAGATGAGCAATCAACAAAAATTTTTTCAGCGATTTTCAGCCAAGCTTTGGTCATTTTAAGCCAAAAATTCGTCGTCACTTTCAGTCATTTTTAGCTATTTTCAGCCAAAAAATCAACTTTTTGACTCGAGCGATTTTCAGCTGATTTTCAGCTTTTCTATCAAATTTCAGGCCATTTTTCAGCGATTTTCAGCCAAGAATTGATCATTTTCAGTCATTTTTTGCCAGTTTTCAGCCTTTTTAACCAATTCTAGATCATTTTTTTCAGCTACTTTCAGCCAAAATTTTTTTTCATTTTCAGACATTTTTCAGCCATTTTTGATTGGTTTTCAGACAGAAATGCGTGTAATTTTCACAGCCAATTTTCAGCCTTTCCAACCAACATTCGGTCATTTTCAGATGATTTTCAACTGAAAATCCTAATTTTCAGCTTTTTGGAAGTTCGCAATTTTGGCTGAAAATGGCCTAAAATACCGTATTTTTGGCTGAAAATTCCAAAAATTGACTGAAAAGCGATTTTGAGCCAATTCTCAGCCTTTTTTAGCGATTCTAGACCATTTTTCAGCTATTTTCCACTAAAAATATTGTCATTTTCAGCTATTTTCAGTCATTTTCAGCCTTTTTAACCGATTTCCAGCCAAACCAATCATCATTTTCTAATGATTTTCAGCCGAAAATCGTTCATTTTAAGCCAGAAATTTGTCTTTTTCAGATGATTTTCAGCCAATTTTGGTTCATTTTTAGGTATTTTCAGTCGAAAAAATCAACTTTTTGACTCGTTTCCGAGATTTTAGAGCGATTTTCAGCCGATTTTCAGCTTTTCCAACAACTTTCAGGCCATTTTTCCGCGATTTTCAGTCATTTTGGAGTTGTTTTCAGCGAACAATTCGTTATTTTCAGTCATTTTCAGCTTTTCTAACCAATTTTAGACCATTTTTCAGCTAATTTCAGCCAATAATTGATCATTTTAAGTCAATTTTCAGCCATTTTCAGTCGAATTTCAGCCAAAAATCGATTTTCAGCTATAAAAAACCCACCCAAACTCTGCGCGGCCAACATTTCCTCATACAAACTGCCTCCGCCAGTCGAAGCTCCGCCCACTTCTCCGCCGCCTCCTGATGACGTGGATTGCTGACTTGTGGATGGTCCACTCTTGGATTCCAAATCCTTCAAATACGTCAACAGTGATTCGCGAGCGATTTGATCTTCCAGGTCCGCTTGCGTTCGTTGATAATCCGTCAAATCCATTTTGTCCTGGAAAAATTGATTTTTAGGGCTTAAAATAGCTTTAAAACAGCCTAAAAGGGCCTGAAATAGCCTGAACAGGGCTTGAATTAGCCTGAAAAGGGCCTAAAATGACCTTAAAAGGTCCTGAAATCGCCTAAAAATGGCCTGCAACAGCCAATGAAGAGCCTGAGATAGCCCAAACAGTGCCTGAAATAGCCTAAAAAGAGCCTAAATCAGCCTGATCAGGGCCTGAAACAGCCTAAAAAGGACCTAGAACATCCGAAACAGGGCCTGAATAGGCCTGAAATAGCCTAAAATGACCTGAACTAGCCTAAAAAAGGCTTAAATCAGCCTAAACAGTGCCTGAAATAGCCTTAACATGGCCTCAAATAGCTTAAGACGGGCCCAAAATAGCCTAGGTAGGGTCTGAGACTGCCTTAAAAGGGCCTGAAACAGCCTAAACAGGACCTAAACCAACCTAAAAAGGGCCTGAAACAGCCTAAACAGGACCTAAACCAACCTAAAAAGGGCCTGAAATAGCCTTTTCTGGGTCAAAATGGCCAAAGGTAGCGTTTAAAACTGTCAAAATGACTCAGAATAGGCCTGAAATTGCTCAAAATTCATCTGGAAGCTGAAAATTAACGCTGAGCAATCGAATTTTTCGTGGATTTCGGTCCATTTTCGGGTCATTTTCAGCGGTTTTTCAGCCCAAAAACCCAATTTTTGGTCCATTTTGACTCATTTTCCAGCCAAAAATCGCATTTTCAGCCAAATTTCGCATATTCTATACCTGTAACATGGTCTCCTCGATATGCTCCAATTCCGACTTGGCCATCGCTTTCGTCATCAAATCCTTATCAGCTGCGCCGGGGACCATTCCAGGCAGGCCTAGGCCCACGCCAATCGTTGGCACCTTCGGATCGAGGACTGAAAATTCGAAAATTGGGGGGAGAAATCGGCTTAAAATGATCATTTTCAGCATAAAAATGGCCTAAAGAAGGCCTTTTCAGCTTAAAATTGGCTCAAAAAAGATCCGAAAAGGCCTAAACAGCCTAAAAATCTGCCTAAAACAATCATTTTCAGCTGAAAAAACCGCAATTTTCAGCCGTTTCCAGCCTAAAACAGGCCTAAAAATGGCCTTTTCGGCCCAAAAATGCACCCCAAAAAACTCACTAGCATTATAGTGCACCGCCCGGTGGTAGCTCAGACGAAGTGGCGGATTCTGTTGTGGTGGGGCAGCCGAGGCTCCGCCCCCTTCCGCATTGGCTCCGCCCACTTCATTGGGTCCGCCCACTGGAGGGATGACTTCAGCGTCGGGACGTGGCATCAATACGTTTATGGGCTCTGAAATTTGAAAAAAAAAGTGAAATTATGGACACAAAAGGGGGCGTGGCCTAGGATTCAGGGATCGAACAGGGGGCGTGGCCTATTTTTCTGGGGTTGAAAGGGACGTGGCATATTTATAAGGGTCTCAAAAGGGGCGTGGCCTAACCAAATAGACCTTAAAAGGGGCGTGGTCTACTCACTAGAGATCGGAAAAGGGGCGTGGCTTATTTCGAAGGGATCGAAAAGGGGGCGTGGCCTAGAATTTTCGGGGTTTGTGGGTTTCTAGGCCATCAAAAAAACTCGGCCAGCCGCGAATTTTCGCCTAAAATCGGTCATTTTCAGCCGTTTTTGATGATTTTTGGCTCAAAATAAGCCGATTTTCACAATTTTTGGGTCATTTTGGCTCATTTGACAGCACTTTTCAGCTCAAAATTGTTCATTTTTAGCCAATTTTCACAATTTTTGGGTCATTTTGACCCATTTTTAAGTCTAAATTGTTCATTTTCCAGAACTTTTTGGCTGAAAATAATCCGATTTTCCATGATTTTTGGGCCATTTTGACCCATCTTTATAGCTTATTTTTGCAGATTTTGGCTCGAAATTAGCCGATTCTCATGATTTTTAGGTCATTTTAGCTCATTGTGAGGTCTAAATTGCTCATTTTCAGCTCAAAATCCTACATTTTTCATGTTTTTTGGGTCAATTTGGCTCATTTTTAGGTCTAAATTGCTCATTTTTCACATATTCTGGCTCAAAATTAGCCGATTTTCAAAACGTTTGGGTCATTTTGGCTCATTTTGACCCATTTTTAGGTTGAAATGGCTTATTTTTCGCAGATTTTGGCTCAAAATTATCCGATTTTCATGATTTTTGGCTCATTTTTCCCCTATTTTCGACACCTACCATCACTGTACTGATAAACCTCCACCGGCCGCGCGAACATCTCGGAAATGGCCTGCAACTCGACGTGATTCCCGTGCACATGGTCCGCCCGTTTCCTCTCTATGTAGTTCTCGTAGTTCTCCGTGATGAACTCTCTGAAATGGTCCCTATTCCTGAGCATATAGTCCATACACAGCTGCCGAATCTGTCCGTGCATCTCCTGATCCCCATAGATCTGCTCAGCGATCGCTCGAAACATGCACGCGCCGTCGCCCTCCATCTCCTTGATGATGAGGCCGCGACGGGCGAGACGGTCGGCGAAATCGGCTTCCAGCTGCAAGAAATGGCCATAAAATAGGCTGAAAATGGCTTGAAATAGACTTTAAAACGCTTAAAATGACTGAAAGTAGCACTAATATGGTCCAAAATAGCCCTAAAATGATTCTAAAAAGACCTAAAATAGTCCAAAATAGTCTTAAAATGGTCCAAAAGAGCCCTAAAATGGTCCAAAAGAGCCTTGAAATGCTCCAAAATCGACCAAAAATTGCTCAACGCCAGAAAAGTCGGACAATTAAAGCTGAGCAATCGCCGATTTCCGTTCGTTTCCGACCATTTTTAGTAATTTTTGGGTCATTTTCAGCGTATTTTCAGCCAAAAACCCTCATTTTTGGGTAATTTCGGGTCATTTTCAGCTCTTTTTGGTCCATTTCTAGTCATTTTTAGCCTATTTTGGGTCACTGGAAGCCGAAAAAAAAAATCAATTTTGGGTCATTTTGGCTCATTTTTTAGCGTATTCTACCTGGAAATTTTAGGCTGAGCAATCACAGATCCCCGTTGATTTTGGACCATTTTCAGTCAATTTCCGACCATTCTAGGTCATTTTAGGTCGAAAAAACTGATTTTTGGCCATTTTTGTGCTCATTTTCAGACCATTTTGGGTACTTTTTAGCGTATTTCCAGCCAAAATAGGTCATTTTCAGTCGATTTTCGATAATTTTGGCTCATTTTTAGCGTATTTCCTGCCAAAAAATCGCATTTCCAGTCAAATTTCAGCCAAAAAACTCACCGCGTCATCTCTCTGATGCTCCTCCCGATACTCGTCATCCGAATTGTAGTCTCCATTCCCGTTGCTCGACCCGTTTCGACGGCATTTCGCCGCCAAATCCACGTTTTCCGAGTTGTTCTGGGTTACTGTAGCTGATGGGGCGGCGGCGGTTGGGGGTACTGTAGATGGAGGAGGAGGAGGAGGAGGCGGGGCGTGAGGGTTACTGTAGGTTGAGGACGTGGCAGATGACGTCGGTTGGTGGGCGGGGCGTGGAGAGATGCCTGACGACTGTGGAATTGCCCCTGAAACTAGTCAAAATGATTGCTCAGCTTTAATTTTAGGCCTATTTTAAGGCCTTTTAGGTCATTTTCAGGCCATGCGAGGTCGATTTTGAGGACTTTTAGGCTGATTCAGGTCAATTTCAGGCGAATTAGGGTCATTTTTAGGCTAATTCAGGCGATTTTCAGGCCATTCAAGGCCGATTTTAAGATCGTTTAGGCCCATTTTAGGCTGACTCAGGCGAAATTAGGTCAATTTTAGGCAAATTCAGGCCTAATTCAGGTCAATGTTAGGTCAATTTTAGGCCATTCAAGACCAATTTTGAGGTCTTTTAGCCTTATTTTAGGCCAATTCTAGACTAACTCAGGCCAATTTCCGGCTAATTTAGGACAATATTAGGCTGATATAGGCCATTCAAGGCCGGTTTTAGGGTCTTTTAAGCAAATTTAGGTCAATTTCAGGCTGATTTAGGCCTAATTCAGGCTAGTTTAGGTCAATTTTAGGCTAATTCAGGTGATTTTAGGCCTTTTAAGCTTGTTTTAGGCCATTCAAGACCGGTTTTGAGGTCTTTCAGGCTAATTTCAGGCTGATCTAGGCCAATTTTAGGCTATTTTAGGTCAACTTTAGGCTAATTTCAGGCTGATTTAAGCCCATTTTTGGCCTTCCAAGGATGATTTTGAGGTCTTTCAGGCCTATTTTAGGCTGACTCAGGCGAAATTAGTCAATTTTAGGCTAATTTAGGTCTATTTTAGGCTAATTCAGGACAAATTTAGGTCAATTTTAGGTCATTCAAGACCAATTATGAGGTCTTTTAGGCCCATTTTAGGCAATTCAAGGCCGATTTTGAGGTCTTTTAAGCGAATTTAGGCAAATTCTAGGCTAACTTAAGACAATTTCCGGCTAATTTTGGTCAATTTTAGGCTGATATAGGCCATTGAAGGCCGATTTTAGGGTCTTTCAAGCAAATTTAGGCAAATTTAGGCCCAGGATGTTTTCAGGCCATGCAAGGCCGATCTTGAGATCTTTAAGGCTAATTTAGGTCATTTTTAGGCTAATTTAGGTCATTTTTAGGCTAATTTAGGCCTAATTCAGGCTAGTTTAGGTCAATTTTAGGCTACTTCAGGCGATTTTCAGGTCATTCAAGGCCGATTTTAAAGTCGTTCAGGCCCATTTTAGGCTGGTCAAGGCCTATTTTATGCCATTCAAGGCCGATTTTCAGGTGGTTTTTAGGCTAATTAAGGCTGATTTAGGCCAATTTTAGGCTATTCCAGGCCATTTTGGGCAGTTTTAGCCCATTTTTCAGCCATATTCAGCCAATTTTCAGCATGATTGCTCAGCTTCTAACATACATCTCTTGCTGTATGGTCCATCGTCCTGCTGCTGTGGAATTCGCTGATGATTCCGTTTCGCGCCAGACGAGCTGCCAACAATCGATTGATGATGGTGATGGTGATGGTGGCCACGATTTTGATCGCCAGAACTGCAAAAATCGATATTCGGGGCGGTGAAAATTTGGCTTAAAATCGATTTTTTCGACTGAAAATCGGTCAAAAATCGCTCGAAATTGTGATTTTTTCACAGTTTTCAGTCATTCTGTTTGCAAAAATCGATTTGATCGCCAAAAACTGCAAAAAATCGATTTTCGGGGGTGTAAATTTGGCTTAAAATCGATTTTTTCAACTGAAACTCGGTCAAAATCGCCTAAAATAGCGAATTCTGACTCAGTTTGGGCAATTTTCAGCTAATTTTCTCTGTTTTTGATCATTTTTAGCTCATTTTTAGCCATTTTCAGCCATTGTCTGATCGCCAAAAACTGCAAAAAATCGATTTTTGGGGTGGAAATTGCTCAAAATCGACTCAGAAAGCTTTAAATTTAAAGCTGAGCAACCGTTTATAGTCGATTTTTGAGCTCAAAAATCGGCAAAAAGTCGATTTTTCTCAATTTTTGGCCTATTTTCAGCAAATTTGGACTCATCGTTCTCGATTTTCAGCCATTCTCTGATCGCCAAAAACTGCAAAAAATCGATTTTTGGAGTGAAAATTTGGCTTAAAATCGAATTTTTCGACTGAAAATCGGTTTAAAATGACCTAAAATAGCGAATTTTGACTGAAATTTCAAGATTTTCAGCCATTCTCTGATCGTCAGAACTGCAAAAAATCGATTTTTGGGGTGGAAATTGCTCAAGATCGACTCAGAAAGCTTTAAATTTTAAGCTGAGCAATCGGTTTCTAGTCGATTTTGGAGCTCAAAAATCGCCAAAAACCAACTTTAAGCCATTTTCAGCCAATTCTGGCCCATTTTTCACGATTTTCAGCTCATTTTTCCACTATTTTCAGCCAAAACACTACCTTCCAGATGCTGAGCTACTCTTCTGCGCCGCGTCCTTTTCTCGCTTCTTTTTCACTGGCAAAATCGTCATTTTTCCGAGTTTTTTGGGGATTTGAAAAGTCTGAAAATGCTGAAAATTTGGCTGAAAATATGAAAAAAATCTGGAAAAAATGGGAAAATTCAGGTATAAAATCGCATGAAAAATCACGAAAATGAACCAAAAATTAAAGAAAAAATTGAAAATTTCAGCAAAAAACTGCATTTTTAGGAGAAGACATCGGGAAAAAAATCGGGGAAAATCGGGAAGAAAATAGACTACAAACTACAAAAAATAGATTTTAAAAACCCAAAAAAAATGTGCAAATAAATTATATAATTACATCAAAAATTCCAAAAATCCAGGAAAAAAGTGGGTGGAGCCTAACAATTTAGACTGAAATTTGGGGTTTTGAAAAGTGGGCGGAGCCTAGTATAAATTATAGAAAATTGGGAGAAAAAAGGGGCGGGGCTTAACTCAAAATAGAGAAAATATGGATCAAAAGGGGCGGAGCTTACTTCCAATTAGAGAAAATCGATCTTTAAAAATTTCGATCAAAAGGGGCGGAGCCTAATTATGATTTAAAGTGAAATTTAGAGGAAAAAATCGAGGCCAAAAGGGGGCGGGGCGTAGTTCAAATCACACGAAATCGGGGGGATCAAAAGGGGCGGAGCCTATTTCGAATTCGAGAAAACAAAAGATTATAGAGACATCGGGATCATCACAAGAATAGGGGGTTAAAAGGGGGCGGGGCTTAGTTCAAATCACACGAAATCGGGGGGATCAAAAGGGGCGGAGCCTAAAATATTAATTTTTTTTCGAATTTTAAAGCGAAAAATGGGTCGAAAATGGTCGAAAAAATTGCGAATTTGGAAGCGAACTTTCGATTGCTCAGCTTTAATTTTTACCCGATTTTAAGCATTTTTAGCGCTCATTTTCAGTCGAATTACAGCACGGGAAAATCGATTTTCCGGGTATTTTTAAAGATTTAAATTTTTTTTAAAGAAAAAAATTAAAAAAAAAAAAAAAAAAATTAAGGCTGAGCAATCGAAAATTCGGGTCGTCTAAAATAGGTCAAAAAACCCCCGCGTTTTAAGTGTCATTTTCAGACGTTTTTGGGTGCTGGAAATGCTCATTTTGGACCATTTTTAAGCCAATTTTTCAACAAAAAAATCGATTTTCAGACATTTTTAAGGCTAAAAATGCTGATTTTGGACCATTTTCAGCCAAATTTTTTCGCCAAAATCAATCGATTCCCGGATCAACGATATGATTGATATCAAAGGGCTCTCCGTCATCATCATCATCCTCTTCTTCACCTTCTGCCAATTGTACTTGTTCCAAAATGAATTCTTCCGCTCTTCGAAACTCGTCATCGGGTGCTTCTAGCAATTCGACGCCTTCTTCTTCCTCATCTTCCTCGTCTTCTGAAAATTCGAAGATTTTTGACTGAAAACCTCAAATAGCCGAAAATTGGTCTTTTCAGCCGATTTCGAGGTCGTTTAGGCTGATTTAGGCCTATCTCAAGCCGGTCAAGGCCAATTTTGGGCTAACTTGGTCATTTTTATGCCATTCAAGTCTGATTTTGAGGTCTTTTGGGCCCGTTTTAGGCTGATTTAGGCCAATTTTAAGCCAAAATTCCAGGAAAAAAGAACCTAAAATAGTTGAAAATTGGCATTTTGAGGCCATGTTGAGGTCGTTTAGACCCATTTTCGACTGGTTAAGGCCAATTTTGGGCTACGTCAGGTCATTCAAGAACCCATTTTGAGGTTTTTTAGGCTAATTTAGGCTAATTTTAAGCCAAAATTCCAGAAAAAAGGACCTAAAATAGTCTTTTGAGCCGATGTTGAGGTCTTTTAGGCCCAGTTTAGACTGGTCAAGGCCAATTTAAAGCCAAAGTTCCAGAAAAAAGGGCCTCAAATAGCTGAAAATTGGTATTTTCAGCCGATTTCGAGGCCGTTTAGGCCGATTCGAAGCTCCTTTCGGCCAATTTCAGGACATTCAAGTCTGTTTCTGAGGTCTTTCAGGCTGATTTAGGCACGGTTCAAGCTGGTCAAGGCTCATTTTAGGTCATTCAAAGCTGATTTTGAGGTCTTTTAGGCTGATTTAGGCCCATTTCAGGCTGGTCAAAGCCAATTTTTGGCTAAATTCAAGAGATTTTTGGCTAAATTCAAGAGAGCTATTTTGGGCCATTTTGGGGCTATTTTGGATCATTTCAGAGCTATTTTGGGCCATTTTGGGGCTATTTTGGATCATTTTAGAGCTATTTTGGGCCATTTTGGGGCTACTTTGGTCCATTTTTGGAATTTTTCTGTCGATTTTCATGTCATTTCTAGCTAGAATTAGTGTTTCTCAGCCCGTTTTAAGACGATTTGGTTCCTTTCCCGGGGCCATTTCGGACGATTTTCAGTGCATTTTTCGCTTTTTTGATCAATTTCTGTCAATTTTGGGACTTTTTTAGACAATTTCAGACATTTTTTGGGCTATTTATGGTCATTTCTAGTCATTTTCAGCCGATTTTGGGGTCATTTTAGACTATTTTAGGGCTGTTTTGGGTCATTTTTCGCCCATTTTTCAGTTTAAACCACCGTACCTTCATCCTCGTCGACATCTTATGGATCCTCCTCCTCCTCCTCCTCTTCTGAATCCGATGCGTAATCCGCATTCCGTCGTTCCCTCCGTCTTCTGAACAGCAAATCATCGTCAGCCAGTGCTCCGTTGAATCCATAATCGATGATTCGTTCGCGTAGAACGTCTTGAAGTGCCGCCTGATTTCCAATGATTGGTCGCATTGGCACTTGCACGGCAGGATTACGGTCATTCTGGAATCGAAAATTGAGCAATTTCGGGTGGAAAATGGCGGGAAGTTCAAAATTTTCGGTGCAAAAATCCCAAAAGTGAGCATTTTTAGATGAGAAATTCAAATTTTTTTGGGTTCAAAAAAGATCAAAATTGATGAAAATGCACCAAATTTCGCTTTTTAATGCTGAGCAATCGAAATTTTGGCTCATTTTTCCTAGTTTTCAGTCCATTTTTCAGCCTATTCTAGCCAGTTTTCCGGGAATACGGTCATTCTGGAAGCAAAAATGAGCAATTTCGGGTGAAAAATGGCGGGAAATTCAAATTGCTTGGTGCAAAAACCCCAAAAATGAGCATTTTTAGGGGAAAAATAGGTAGAAAATATGAAATTTTTGGTTTTAAAACAGCCAAAATGCACCAAATTTCTCATAAAAAGGCAAATTAAGGCTGAGCAATCAGAATTTCTGGCTCATTCTGGACCATTTTTTGTGGTTTTTGGTGCTCTTTTTCAAAGATTTAAGGCTGAGAAATCGAGATTTTTAGCCAATTTTCGGTCAAGCTCATTTTCAGTCAATTTTAGACCATTTGGACCAGAAAATGCGCTGAAAATCACGAAAAATGGTCCAGAATGAGCTCAAATTGGCTAAAAATGAGCGAAAATTCCGGTTTTTCAGGATTTCAGCATCAATTTCAGCCAAAAATTGTCATTTTTCAGAATTTTTCGTCAGGCATTTCCTGCCGATTTTGAGCTCATTGATGTCAATTTAAGCATGAGTAATCGACAATTTCAGTGCATTTTAGCTCATTTTTCGTCGATTTTCAGCCAATTTCAGCTGATTTTGGACTATTTGGACCGTAAAAATCGCTAAAAATCACACAAAACTGTCGAAAATGAGGCGAAATTGGTCGAAAATTCCGTAAAAATTGATTTTTTCGACCATTTTTCACCATTTTTAGCTCATTTTCAGTCAAATTTCAGCCAAAAACTTGATTTTTAGAAGAATTCAAGTCTGAGCAATGTGAATTTTGACTCATTTTCAGCGTATTTCAACCCATTCTGGACCATTTTCAGTCAATTTTAGCTCAATTTTAGCCCATTTTGAACCATTTTCAGCTCATTTTCAGTCAAATTTCAGCCAAAAACTCACCATCCGCGGTCCCCGTATATACTCCACCTCCTGATCGTGCCAATTCCGGAGCCCATTCAAAATCACGTCGATTGGAATGGGTTCCTCGTCCAAATTCTCTCTTTCCAGCCTCATTTCTTGGAATAGCGTTATCAGGTGCTGATCAGCCTCTCGTGATGGCGTGTACTCGGCTTGTTCCATCATCTGCACGGTAATTAGAGGGTAATTAGGGGGGTAATTAGATGGAAAATGCTCGAAAATTCGGAATTTCCGGGTCGAAATGGTCCAAAATTTCGAATTTTCTGCCTTTTTAAACATGAGCAATCGACAATTTTATGGATTTCGGCTCGTTTTTCATCAATTTTCCGCCTATTTTATGGGTAATTAGGGAGTAATTAGTCGAAAAATCGGTTTTAAATGGTTCAAAAAGGGATAATTCTTCAAAAATATCACTTTTTTGCTCAGATTTTAGCTATTTTTCAGAAAATTTCAGCCAATTTAAGCATGAGCAATCGTCAATTTTATGAAAATTAGCTCATTTTTCGTCAATTTTCAGCCTATTTCAGCTCATTCTGAACCATTTTTGGTGATTTTTGCATCAAAAAGTACCGTACCTCCCACACATTCGGATGTCTCAGTGCCAGCTCATGATTGAATCCCAATACGAGCAGATCCCGATTGTGTCTCTCGACACAACACTGCATGACGGCTTCGTTGAACAGGCGTACGGTGTGTTTGAATCCTTCGAGCTGCAAAATTACAGTATTAAGCATGAGCAATGGGTCCCAAATGGTTGAACAATGGCCGAAAATCGGTTACTGTAGGCTCTGGAGGAATACTGTAGCCGTCTTTTTCAGATTACTGTAGGTTTGGGGTACTGCAGGGGGACAAAAACTAAGCGTGAGCAATCAGCATTCTGGGTCCAAAATCAATTAAAATAGGTTACTTTAGCTCTGGAGGGATACTGTAGGTCTCTTTTTGATGCTTTAAGACAGTTAGGGGATACTGTAGGGAGAAATTAAGCATGAGCACTGGGTCCAATTCGTTTCAAATAGTTTTAAAAATTGGTGAAACCCCGGTTACTGTAATCCTGGGGGGGGGGGGGGTACTGTAGGTTTAATAAAGCCATTTTGAGGCGGTTAAGAGGGTACTGTAGGGTACAACAATTAAGCATGAGCAATCAGCCATTTTAGGGTCGAAAAACGGTTCAAAATGCGCTAAAATCGGTCTAAAACGGGTTACTATAGCTCCGGGGGTACTGTAGGTTCATCTATGCCTCGCCGATTACTGTAGCAGTCTGATAATTCAAAATGGATTACTGTAGCTTTCCTTTCTTCGATTAGGGGTACTGTAGGGGGATTACTGTAGCTCTGGAGATAGTGTATGTGCCCTAATTCGTTTTGAGGAGGGTATGGCGTACTGTCAGGGATTACTGTAGCTCTGGAGAAATTCGGTAGAGATACTGTAGCTTTCCTTTTCTTTGATTAGGGGTACTGTAGGGCGATTACTGTAGCTTTGGAGAGATACTGTAGCTCGTTCTTTTTTCGGTCAGGGGTACTGTAGAAAATCAGGGAGAGCAATCGATGGGAAATTGGCGTTTTGGGTCGTTTTGGTCGTTTTTGATCAATTTAAGCCTATTTTCAGCCATTTTCAGCTCAATTCGGGCAATTTCAGGTAGTTCTATACCGATTTTCGACCATTTTAAGCTATTTTAAGCCATTTTTCAGTAATTTTGACCAATTCTGGGTCATTTTGGATCAACTTTTGGCCATTTTAAGCCCATTTTGGACCATTTTTAGGCCATTCAGGACAATTCTAGGTCGTTTTGGACCATTTTTGGATCATTTTTGAACAATTTTAGGTCGTTTTAGACCGATTTTTAGCTATTTTAGGCCATTTTTGAAGCTATTTTGACCGATTCTAGGTCGTTTTTGGCCAATTTTTGACGGCTTTAGACCAATTTAAGCCCATTTCCAGCCATTCATTTCCCCTACCTGAGCCTGAGCAATGGGACATTCAGGACAATTCTAGATCGTTTTGGACCGATTTTTTTTTAAACCTGATCTTCTGCCAATTTCAGCTATTTTTCAGCCAAATTATTTCAGCTTCGGACCGATTTTAGACGATTTTCGGTCGCTTTCGAAATACTGAGAGCAATGAATCTGACGTCAATTTTGAGCGAATTTTTAGCCATTTTGGGCCAATTTCAGGCCGTTTTAGACCGATTTTTGACTGTTTTAAGCCTTTT